TTCCTGCCCTTTCAACATAGGTCTGGAAAGTGCCTCATGAGGTCATCTTGTCCAACCCCTTGCTGAAGGCAGGAACATCCCTGAATGAACCATCCCAGTCAAGTGATTGTCTAAACTGCTCCTCAAAATCTCTAGGGGTGGAGATCCCACCACTTCTCCAGATAGCCCGTCCCAATGCTTGGCCACTCTCAGAGTCAGAAAGGTCTTCCTACTCTCTAATCTAAATTTCTTCTGCTGCATCCTGAGGTCGTTACTTTAGTCAGTGGCCACAGAAAAGAAGTCCATCTCCATCCTCTTTCTAATCCCCCTGCAAGCAATTGAAGACTTCTATTAAATGCCCTCTCAGTCTTCTCTTCTTCAGACTAAATGACTCCAGTTCTTTTTGCATTTCCTCACATGAATCTTACATCTTCCTTAATATTTTGTGTTACTCTGTGCTGGACTTAATTCACACTGCCTATGCTTTTCTTGAAATGTGGGCCCAAAACTGGACATAGCACTTCAGGTGAGACCTTGTCAGCTTTGAATAGAATCACTTTCCTTGATTGATTTGCAAGAGACACTCCTGTTCGTACAACCCAGGATGCTGTTTGCTCCCCTCCTAGCAAACACGCACTGTTGGTTCATATTCAGACAATGGTCTATTGTAACCCCAAATCCTTCTTTGCAGTACCATAGCCTAGCCAGTCATTCTCCAGTCTGCATTTAATTATTCTGTCCCAAATGCAGGACTTTTCATTTGTCCTTAGTGAATTCCATCTGACTGATTTCAGAGCATTGCTCTAGTTTATCCAGATCATTCTGAATCTTAGCCCTACCCTCTAGAGCATGTATAACTCTACTCAACTTGGTGTCATCCACAAATTTTCTAAGCATGCTCCCAATCATATCACCCAGATCATCTTTAGAAGACAACCATTGTCCCTTTGGATCATGGTGTACATGTAGAAGGTCTAGTCAGATGTCTGATTAGTCTGTTTGTGGCTGACAAGCCCAATTTGAGAACGACATAGCTTGTTATAAGTTTCACACATCCATACGTTGTCCAAATTTACAGCACACTGCTCTCTTTTTTTCTCACTTTGCTTCCATCCTCTGGATCAAAGCTGCTTCATGTTGAGCCACACCTAGTGCCAGGTGTTCCCTCCACGTAGGGCAGGATTCTACGTACTCCTATCAGCCTTCTGTGTTGATGTTGAACGACTTCATATGATTTTTGCATACATCGTGGTACTGCCATAGAGGGCAGTCCCCACTTTCTAGAGCCATCTCAGATCTCACTATATGAAATATTCTTAGGGATACAGTCTCCTGTCATTCTCCTGACATGGCTGATTCATCACAATTTCCTCTTCTTGATAGTGGTTTCTAAGTGTGTCAATCCTGCATGCTCCACTACCTTTGCGCATTTATACACATGCTTGGGGAATGGGAGGGAAAGCCAGCAGACTCAAATAAATGAGTGCTCCGACATGCTGGAATTCCAGTGCAATGGAACAGCCTCCACCTTCTGCGTTTGGTGTTCTGTCTTCCCACTTCGTTTTCAGGATCTTATACAGACATCTCGTGTGGAAGCTGTTCAGTCTCTTGATGTGCCTAGTATAAGTAGTCCACATTTCTGAACCACAAAGTAGGGATGAGAGCACACAAGTCTTGTAGATCCACCTTTTCACCTTAGCTGATAGTTTGCTGTTGTTCCAGGCATGTTCCTGCAATAGCCTGAAATTCTTAGCTGCTTTTCTGATTCTGCTAGTCAGTTCAGTCTGAAGGTCAAGATTCCTGCTCACCGTAGAACCCAAGTAGCAAAAACTTTTAACAACACCAAGAGATTTATCCACCAGAGTGATGTCAGGTATTGGTTCTTCCACCCCTTGGTACATGATTACAGTCTTTCTGAGACCAAATTGCCATCCCAAAGCTCTTGCATGATTCAGAAAATCTGCTCAAGGGATTTTGCAGGGAAAATTCACTGTGGGCAATCAAGGCCATGTCTTCCACAAACAGGAAGTCTCCCCGTACCTGTTCTTTCACCTTGCTTTTTGCTTTAAACATTGTGATGTTTAGGGATCCTGGTTTTCTCCAATTTTAAAAAATCCCCACTCTTCAGTTAAAAAAAAAAAACAACCCCAAATCCACATTTTTCCATGATTTAAATGAAACACCATTAACATATAGATATATACATAGTGGCATTTCGTTTTTCCATGATTTATATGAAACGCCATGACTGAAATGCAACACCACTAATATATAGATATAAAAATAGGTATCTATTAGTGGTGTTTCATTTTAATCATGGAAAAATGTGGATTTGGGGTTACATTTTTTCCCCATGATTAAAATTAAACACCTTGAGCAGCTGTGACATACATGATTACATGGTCAGGTGGGTGGCAAATTGGCTTAGGGGTTGCACCTAGAGAGTGGTGGTGGTGGATGGGTCAGTATCATTCTGGAAAGATGCAAATAGTGGAGTCCCACAGGGCTCAGTCCTGGGTGTTTCATTTAAATCATGGAAAAATTCGGATTTGGGGTTTGTTTTATTTAACCAAAAATTGGGGATTTTTTTTAAATCAGAGAAAACCAGGATCGCTGGTGATGTTGAACAAGCCTCCATCCAGTTTGGACCAAAAAAAATAATGCCATCATTACTGTACTTGAATGCATGAAAAATCTGGCATGAAAAGTAGATGCTAAAAAGCATAGGAGCTAAAACACACTGCTGTTTCACCCCATTGCTGATATCAAAGGCATTTGGTACACTACAGTTGCCTTCATACCTTGATGCAATGAGCAAATCTTGTTCAACAGTTTGTGGGGGACAATCAGATTGATGAAGTACAGTGGCATTCATTTTTCTCTACACTTCTCTTGCAGTTGATTGACCAAAAATACCACTGAGGTACTGTGGGTCAGAATGCAAGGGGGTCAGAGGGAAAGGGACTGTTTAGTGGGGGTCTACTGCAGGTTGCCACATCAGGAGGATGAGCTGGACCTGGAATTCCCAAGGCAGCTCTCAGAGGCTGTACACTCAAGGGACATGGTTGTCACGAGTGACCTAAACTACCCTGACATCTGCTGGGAGGAGTTGTCAGCTAGATCTGACCAGTCACGTAGGTTCTTAACCTGCATACAGGACCTTCACCTAACACAGGAGGTATACGGTCCCACTAGGGGAAATGCCTTACTAGATTTGGTGCTGGTTATAGGGAAGGACTTGGAAGGGGATCTACTGACACAAGGTAACCTAGGGGACAGTGACCATCACTTAATTGAATTCACTATCCAGCTTAGGGTGGGAAAGATAACCAGTAGGACAGAAATGCTAGACTTCAGAAAAGCTAACTTCAGCATGCTCAGGTGATTAGTTAGTGAGGCACTAAAGAACAGGAGCATTGGTGAGATGCGAGTCCAGGAAGGGTGGTCGTACAAAAGGGAGCATTCCTACAGGTACAGAAGGAGACAATCCCCTTGCGCAGGAAAGCAGGGAAAGGGACCAAGAAACTCTCTTGGCTGAACAGGGAAATCCAGGAAAGTCTAGGGGCAAAAAGAGAGGCATATAGGCTGTGAAAACAGGAGGTAGCTACCAAGGTGGAGTATACCTACTTGGCCTGCACTTGCAGGGAGGCAGTCAGAAAGGCCAAAGCAGAAATGGAACTTAGGCTGGCAACAAAAATTAAAGACAACAAAAAGTCCTTCTTCACGTATATAGGGAGTAAAAAGAAGGCACAGGGTAGCACAGGACCTCAACAGGACAAACTAGAGCAATTAGTGACAGATACAGGGGGACAAGGCTGAGCTCTTCAATGAGTTTTTTGCCTCTGTATTCCTGAGCATGGATCAGGACAAATCTCCCAGTTGGATCATAGACAGGCACAAAAGGGAAACCAGCCGTTAGTGCTGACTTAGTGAAGGGACACTTGGAGGGGCTGGATGTAGTCAAGTCAGTAGGCTCAGATGATCTTCACCCAAGGGTGCTGAAGGAATTGGCCAGTGTCATAGCAGAGCTGCTGGCACGGCTGTTTGAGAACTCTTAGTGCTCTGGTCAGGTTCCAGAGGACTGGAAAAGGGCCAATGTGGTCCCTATTTTCAAGAAAGGGAGGAAGGAGGATCCAGGTAACTATAGACTGGTTAGTCTCACCTCTATCCTTGGAAAAACATTTGAAAAAATTATTAACGATCACATTTGTGGGAGTCCAGCAGGAAAAACAATGCTGAAGGGCAACCAGCATAGATTCATAGCAGGTAGATCCTGCCTGACTTACCTTGTTTCTTTTTATGACCAGGTCTCAAAATGCTTAGATACAGGAATTGAGGTAGATGTCATCTACTTGGATTTTAAGAAGGCCTTCCATATGGTATCTCATCCTATTCTCACAGATAAACTGAGTGCCTGTGATGTAGATGATTACACGGTCAGGTGGGTGGCAAATTGACTTAAGAGTTGCACCCAGAGAGTGGTGGTGGATGGATTGGTATCAGCCTGGAACAATGTGGGCACTGGAGTCCCACAGGGCTTGGTCCTTGGACCTGTGCTGTTCAGTGTCTTCATCAGTGACTTGAATGAGGGCGTAGAAAGCACTCTGTCCAAATTCGCAGAAGACACGAAATTATGGGGTAAAGTTAACACACTAGAGGGTGGGGAATGAATCCAGGTGGAATTCTCTTGGACAAGTTGAAAAAGTGGGTAGAACAGAATAGGATGCAGTTCAACAAAGACAAATGCAGGGTGCTGCACCTGGGGAGAAGGAATCACCGGCACGGTACAGGCTGGGGGAGGACCTTCTCAGCAGCACATCAACATAAAGAGATCTCGGAGTCATTGTTGACACCAAAATGAACATGTGCCATCAATGTGATGAACTGATCCGTAAAGGTAACTGAACTTTATCTTGCATTAGCAGGTGCGTGACAAACAGGTCTAGGGAGGTGATACGTCCCCTCTACATGGCATCGGTTAGACCGCAGTTGGAGTACTGCGTCTAGCTTTGGGCGCCGCACTTCAAAAGGGATGTGGACAACCTTGAGAGGGTTCAGAGGAGGGCCACTCATGGTTTGGGGCCTACAGGCAAAGCCCTACGGGAAGAGACTGAGGGCCCTGGATCTCTTCAGCCTCCACAAGAGAAGGCTGAGAGGTGATCTTGTGGCTGCCTACAAATTCATTGGTGGGGTGGGATGGGGAGCAAGGAATAGGAGATGCTCTGTTTACCAGGGCACCCCTTGGAGTAACTAGGAACAATGCCCACCAACTGATGGAGAGCAGATTTAGGTTAGACATCAGGAAGAAGTTGTTTACAGTAAGGGTTGCCAGAATCTGGAACGGGCTCCCAAGGCAGGTGGTGCTTTCCCCTACCTTAGGGGCCTTCAAAAGGAGGCTGGACATGCACCTGGCTGGGGTTGTCTGACCTCAGCGCTCTTTCCTGCCCAGGGAAGGGGTCAGATTCGATGATCTACTAAAGTCCCTTCTGACCCAAGCATCTATGAATCATATCAATGCTGGAGCATCCTAAGTGAAAACTGCATTGACTTTCAGGATAGATTCTTTCACCTAGAGACGGAAGTCTAAGGAGCATGATGTGAGCAACAATTTTTCCAATGATGTTTAACAGGGAGACGCCTCTACGTAGAGTTGTCACAGTCACTTCTATCCCCTTTGTTTTTGTATAACTGCACAAACCAAGCATCTTTGAAATCTTGCAGTACCGCTTCCTCTTTCCAACAGAGCAGTATATCTTCACAAAGCTGTCAAAGTAATTCGTCACTGGCACATCTGTAAATTTCAGCAGGCAAATAGTCATTGCTGGATGCCTTGTTCCCCGGATTTGGCTTTCTGCACATCTTCTAATGTAGGCTTGTTGCCCACATCCATCATAACTTTGAACTGCGGTAATGCTTCGAGCTCTTCATGTTTGAGCTCAGTCTCACTGGAGTAGAGAATTCCATAGTGTTCAGTCCAGCATTTGAGATATTTCTGTTGATCAGTAACGACATTTCTGTTTACGACTTTCAGCAGAGCTGTTTTCTTCTTGACTGGACCAATTGCTCATTTGATGCCTTTGTATATTCCACAGTTATCACCTGTGTCAGCTGCTTTCTGAACATCATCACAGAGTTTCAGCCAGTAATCGTGGGCACCCCTCTTAGCCTCCTTTTGAGTTTCTTTTCAAGCCTTCTCAGGTTTTCTAGGATTATGCTGTTGGGAAGTTTCTTATATTTGGTTAGCACTGCCCGTTTGTTCTCAAGCAGAGGTAGAAGGGCTTCAAAGTGCTCTTCAAACCAGTCTGCATTTTTCTTGCATTTTTTGCCAAATGCTGTTACAGCAGCATTATACTTGTTAGTTTTTAAGCTTTCCCAAGCCTCAGTGGCTGAGTTGTTGAGTAAACTTGCTTTCATTACTTCATCATTGAATAGTCTGCATTTTTTTAGGTGTTTAGTTTGGCTGATGTCTATCTGAGGATGACTGGGAGTTTTGCTATGGTGGATATCTTTTACATTGATTCTGACTTTGCAGTAGACTAAGGCATGGTCTGTGTCACAGTCAGAACTGCGATAAGACCTTGGATGCAGGATTTCTCTCAGGTGGTTGCACCTGGTCAGTACTAGATCTAATTGGCACCAGTGCCCTGACTGTGGATGTTTCCACAATGTCTTCCTTGCAACTTCCTCAGTGAAACAGGTATTGGTAACACATAGGTTTTGACTTGCATGAAGTTCTAACGCTTGCTGGTCATTTTCATTCATATTACCAATCCGTATTTGCCCAGAATACCAGGCCAATTCTTAAAACAACATCCAACTCTTGCACTGAAGTTACCAAGTATTATAATGGTCTCATTTCTGTGAGTTTTCTCCATCTCTTCTGCAAGATGCTGGTAGAAAACATTCTTGTGTTCATTGCTAGCATGAAGGGTAGGCGCATAGACACTAAACCATATGATGAAGCCATTCTGTGCATGCACTCTGCGCATCGTGAGTCAAATAAATACAGCAATGGGGCTTTCACAGAAAGATAGTAAGTTGTTTGTAATAACAAAGCATGCTCTCTCCTTTCTCCTGCTAGCTCCTCATGCCAGAATATGGTGTAATCATTTTCTTGGATAGAACTGGCATCTGAAAGCTGGGTTTCTGATAATGAAGCAGTGTCAATTCCAAGTCTAACCAATTCATAATTTAGTAGTGCTGTTTTCCATAAATCACAGTCCAAATTGAACCCAGGGGTCAGAGTCAAAACCCTTCCAGCAAGTTGCTTTATCATTTTGACCACTATAAATCACACCAAGACCTGCAATACGTACACATAGGCAAGAGTAAGGAGGAGTGAAGGCTGTCCTACACCTACCAGCCCCACTTTAGACCATTGAGACAAAGTCCAAAGGCCAGATGAATCTGGATGTTCAGTCCTCAATGGTTGTAGCTTCTGCCAAACAGCAACGGATTAAAGC